AAAATAAACACGATTAAGAAAAAAAAAACGAATAAACTGACGATGGGCAGTGGCGAGATAAAGCCAGGGATGATCCTTTTTAGTCGACTTCCTCAATGGTGGGTCCAGATGCACCGCCGCTGGTGGGTGCTCCACCGGGAGCGGCGCCGCCAGCTCCAGGGAAACCACCTGGCATGCCACCGGGCATACCACCGGCACCCTGATACAGTTTCGTAACGATGGGGTTACAGATGGCCTCGAGCTCCTTCTGCTTGTGTTCGTATTCCTCTTTGTCGGCCAGCTGGTTAGCGTCGAGCCACTTGATGATGTCATTGCACTTGTCCAGGATAGTTTGCTTGTCTGACGCGCTGATCTTGTCCTTCAGCTTCTCATCCTCGACTGTGCTCTTCATGTTGAAGCAGTAAGACTCGAGACCATTCTTGGCGGAGATCGTTTCCTTCTGCTTCTCGTCCTCACTGCGGTATTTCTCTGCCTCGTTCACCATTCTTTCAATATCCTCCTTGCTGAGTCGACCCTTGTCGTTGGTAATAGTGATCTTGTTCTCCTTTCCAGTAGACTTGTCCACAGCGGAGACATTGAGGATACCGTTCGCATCAATGTCGAATGTCACCTCAATCTGAGGAACTCCACGAGGTGCTGGTGGAATACCGCTAAGCTCGAATTTGCCCAGTAGATTATTGTCCTTGGTCATGGCGCGCTCACCTTCATATACCTGAATCAACACGCCAGGTTGATTGTCGGCGTAAGTTGTGAAGGTTTGAGTCTGCTTCGTCGGGATGGTGGTATTCCTCTTAATGAGCGCGGTCATGACACCACCGGCAGTCTCAATACCCAGAGAGAGCGGAGTGACGTCGAGCAAAAGCAAGTCTTGCACCTCCTCGGATTTATCACCGTGCAAGATAGCCGCCTGTACTGCCGCGCCGTATGCCACAGCCTCATCAGGATTGATAGATTTGTTGAGCTCTTTGCCATTGAAGAAGTCTTGCAGGAGCTTCTGAATCTTGGGAATTCGTGTAGAGCCTCCGACCAAAACGATATCGTGGATTTGGGCTTTGTCCATCTTGGCGTCGCGCAGCGATTTTTCAACAGGTTCAAGAGTACCGCGGAAAAGATCGGCGCAGAGTTCCTCGAAACGAGCTCGGGTGATGGAGGTGTAGAAATCGATTCCTTCATACAATGAATCGATCTCGATGCTGGCCTGGGTGGAGGATGACAGGGTACGCTTGGCACGTTCGCAGGCCGTGCGAAGACGACGAAGTGCGCGTTTATTTGAAGTTAAATCTTTCTTGTATTTACGCTTAAATTCCTGCACGAAATGATTAACCATACGGTTATCGAAGTCCTCGCCACCCAAATGAGTATCTCCAGCCGTAGACTTGACCTCGAAGATACCATCTTCGATGGTCAGGATGGACACGTCGAAAGTGCCACCACCGAGATCAAAGATAAGGACGTTCCGTTCGCCGGTGGCCTTCTTGTCGAGACCATATGCAATCGCGGCGGCGGTGGGCTCGTTGATAATACGCAATACATTTAAGCCCGAGATAGTACCAGCGTCCTTAGTTGCCTGACGCTGCGAGTCGTTGAAGTAAGCGGGGACGGTGATCACAGCGTTAGTGACAGTCTTGCCTAAATATGCCTCTGCAGTTTCCTTCATTTTTACTAAGACCATCGAACTCACTTCTTCAGGGAAGAAAGTCTTCGTCTCTCCTTTGTATTGTACTTGAATCTTTGGCTTACCACTATCATTTATTACGGTAAAGGGCCAATGTTTCATGTCAGCGAGGATTGTCGGATCTTCGAAGCGACGTCCAATCAATCTCTTGGCATCTAATTAATCAAAAAGAAAAAAATAGAGTTAGTTACACTGGCTACCATTTTCAAATAGCTATTTAATACAACAAAGAATATAATAATGTAACATAATACTTTTATATTAAAATATTTAAATTTATTTTGTTTATTATGATTAATAACAAATTTACTAATTAATCAAATATTCATGTTAATATTTGATATAAATTACAATACTTTTACATTTATTTGAGAAAAATTTTTTTTAGATTTTTAATTATTTATACTTATAATATTTAGATACAATAAATGAATACAAATATAAATAATTAAAAATCTAAAGAAATAAAAATATTTGTATCGAATATTTACTTGCATATTTGATAAACTATTAGAATTATTGAGAGAGAAGTAAAAAATGAAGATCTTAAATATATTGAAATTTGTGTAAATATAAATAAATAATTAAATATGTAATTATAATTATTTCTATTTCCTATTTCAACCAGTAATAAATCATATTACTAATTTATCAAATTAATACTTTTTTCCAAATTATAATTATCAATGCTTTTTTTTTTTGCATTTAATACTACAAAAATTCCAAGAATTATAAATAAATGATTTTATTATGGAAAATTTTATTCCATATAACATTCGAGATTTTAGTAATGCAAATCGATCACAGGCGGGAAAGATAAGCTTGACGCACGCGGCATATCTATATGGAAAGGTAAGATATATCATCGAAGATATCAACGGGAATGACGTGATTCAAGTCGATTCTTGAGAAATCCGTCGAGTCACGGTTTAATTTCGGAATTTGACTAGAATTTTTATATGGAAATGACGCGATAGTTTCGAGTAAAAGCAGTCAAATGGAACAGCTCCAAGTTTACGATTCCGATTTTTCTCCCATATAAATTTTAATTTATATTCATAAACAAATTAATGCTGATTATCTCGCCTTTTGCAGTCTTAAATCGATTAAATTTATTATATATATATATAAAATTTGTTTCGTTGTTACGTCCTCATTTTATTATAAAGTATTATGTAACTTTAATTTATAAAATTAAGAAAAATTATAAAATTGGAAGCTTCAAATAATAGTACTGAGTTAATAGCACTTAATTAAGAAGAGATATCTGATAAAGGACAAAACTTTCATAGCACGGACGAAGAGAAGTAGCGGAAACTTACCGAAAATGGTGTTATTAGGATTCATGGCGACTTGATTCTTGGCGGCGTCTCCGATGAGACGTTCGGTTTCCGTAAAGGCTACATAACTGGGCGTCGTGCGGTTGCCCTGATCGTTGGCGATAATCTCGACTTTGCCATGTTGGAAGACGCCAACGCACGAGTAAGTTGTGCCTAAATCAATACCGACTGCGGGTGCCTTCGCCATTTTCTTCGGATTCTACAAGGTAAAAAACGTGGACGATCTATATGAGTAACGATAGTTACAACGATATTAACGAATTATCGTCTTCTCACATCTCTCGTTTTCTCGTGAGAAGTAAACCACGAGGAGAAAGGAAACGTACCTCTTAATAATTACTTGGAAAGCCTCGTAAAATTTCTGTCCGTAGGACAAACGAAGAAATTCCTCGTTCACGATTCACAGCGCGAGTGACGAGTCCGCGCCCCTGCCCTCTGTATATAAAGACTTCGATGCAAGCTTCTGGAACGTTCCTTCCGCGCAGACTCATTCAACCGACGAATCACCGCGCTGGCTTCCGTACATACACGTTTGCGTAGGCGCGCGATTGGTCGGGAGGCATCGACCCCGGGCCGCACCAGGTCGCACCACTGGAGTCAACTGAACGGCAGTGAGCGTCGCTTATCGCGCGCGCGCGCTTCATCGCTTATCGATCGCGCCATCGCGTGAAGCACACTGCGAGTCGCGAATTCGCGAGTTCTTCGTACGTAGGTCATCGAAACGATTAATTCAATTACTTCTACGATCGTACGATATCGCGCAGTCGCGCGTCAATCGATCGATCGGCGAGAAAGGGCGGATGAAAGTGGGATCACTTGCAACCATGGAGTTCCGGTTTCCGGCAGGAAGTAGATGGAAGTCGGCAGAGGGGAGGAGGGATTCGTGAAACGAGGAGGGACGCGCCGAGAAAATTCTAGAAACTACTGGCGCGCTCGCGCGGTTGTGTTACGGGAGATGAAAGATTCGCTCGCGATGGAAACACCGTCTCGTGCCCAAGCCTCGTTCAAGGTTCCACGGAATTCGCACGTGTGCCGGTGACGTCAGCGAATCGACCATCGACGCGAGGGAAACCGCGAATCGTTCATTCTCGGTTTCCCGGGGGGACGAGATCCCTCCGCGATGCATCGAATTATGTCATCCTCTGCCAAGCCGTCACATTTTTAGACTCGGTTCCACTGATTAATAGCTTTTTTTTCCCCCTAAAAAACTAGTGCAATACTGATGCAATTGAACGCAGAATTGATTTACATATTTTCATTAATAAATAATTTGATCCTTTTAAGAGATTATAAGGTTATCTGATGACATCAAATATAATTAAATGGGTTAAATTATTTATTAACACTGAAAGTACGAATTCATTTGCATTTAATTGTACTCAGAGTGTGTACCAGTCTTGCATGAATTTTTCCAGTGGAAAATGCTATAAGATCGACTTTAAACTTGGTTCTGTTAATTTATAGCCTTTATCTTTTTCTAATAATTTCTTAGAACTAGAAAAAGATAAAAAGTTAGTTGAAACGAGATGGAAATTAAATTACATCGATAGAAACGGGAATAAAAATCTAACTGGACAATTTATTATTAGAGAAGACAGTAATTAATTACTTATTTGGAATACTAAAAGTACTGAACAACAATGCTTTTAATATTTAAAATAAATGATCAATTATTGCCCTTCAACTGTATTAAATTTCTGTAAACTACTTGTTCTAATTGTTAATAATAAAATCCCGTCTCTCGTGATCTCTCCTGTCGATCGTGACGATTACGAGCTCGATTTCGTGTATGACTCACGATAGTTATTAACCCGTAATTGTCTTATCGCTAATATACGTAGAAAATTTTATTATGTTCTTACGTAAAAAGCTCACATAGCTCCGGAAAACTGCGAGAAAATCGAGTATGATCGATAGAATGTTATGTGTGTGTATTTGTGTGAATAAATTCAAAAAAGTTGTATTTTATTGAATGATTCAATACTGCAAATTTCTTTTAGTTTATTGTACAAAAAATGCTTTTTAATTCGGAGAATTTACTAGAATGATATACATAATTATAAGGTAATTACTTTAAACTTCAGCTAATTTAGGAGAATTATGGCATGAAAATTAAATATGCATTAAATATGACGGCTAAAATATGACATTGCTATAAATTATGTTTGTATTTGTGAGCTGCAAAGATATAGAGTAGTACAATGTCTGGGATTTGTCATATTAATTGCTATCAAATTGTTAAGGAAAATAATTCCAATTAGATGTTTAGTTAATATAATCAAAAATAATTTTCTTTTTCTAAATAAATTTAGAAAAGTAAAATTATTTTTTGCTACGTTCGATTATATATATTCGATTATAACCGAACATTTGATTGTTAATTAAACAATTGTTTCACTCAAAATAGTGCATCAGTCAAGGATAAAAACCGAAAAATTATGCGCTGAGTCATGAATATTTCCATAAGAAAAACCGACATAATGCCGATTTCGATGTTCAGCAAAATTGCGCTTCCAATGCCAGCAACACGCGTGTCGGATTTACAGTTTATGTCCGTGTGTAAAAAGGAGGAAGCAGTGATTCGCGCGATCGATAATGATTTAATTTCGACCACGTGACTCTCGAAGGTGCCCGAACATTTATTGCGAAGCTGTAGAAATATAGCTATAGGCAAAGTTTACGATAGAAAAAGAGAAGCATAGAAAATATACGTTAGAACTTCGTGCTTTTTTTCTCTTCTTTTTTTTTTCAACGACAAGTGAGAAATCGAAACTTACATTTCGCTTGATTATTAGAGAAGCAATTACGATATTACTTTTTGATATTTGAATTACACGAATACCTTAATACCTGTAAATACTTGTAATTCTTGTAATTAACTCGCGCTATCGAACTGTTTACTTTTACGTCCATATTTATATCTTAGAAAGCCGTTTCGAAATGTTAATTGACATTTATCTGACATTATCTGTGTAATATATTTTATCGATAGCGTATTCTAAAGAAATATGGAAAAAAAGGATGCGAAGCAGAAAGAATGAAAAAATATTACGTATTTTACTTCAACTGTCTGTATTAAAGATAATAATATAATAATAATAAGAGAAACCCAAAACATAATATTTTGAATAAGTTGCATAAATCTCTCATTAATAATAAAGGATGTTGAGAAAATTCCGATAATTTGAGACAAGATGAAAAAATCAATAAAATGACGCAATAGTTGAATAGTTTTTTTTATAAAATATTTACATTTTTCTTCTTAAAGCCTGTTCTACAATGTGCTTTTTGTTTCCTGTTTCTTACTTTTTGTTATTTTTTACATCCTGTCTTTTTGCTCCTTATCAAGTTTTTTGTTTTATATCGTCCGAGATAGAAGTTAACGAACTTCGAAAGAAACAAGAAGTACGTAGCAAAACATACAATTGTTGATAAAACGGTTGTAAAGGAGAAAAAAGCGAAAGGTAAAAAACAAGAAACAGGAAAAACAAGTACATTATAGGCTTTAGAATCTTCTGCTTGGATTCCCGATTCAATTTACATACATTCTACATTCTTTTCGTGTCGTTATATGCATTATATCAGTGGTACAATCTTTTTTTAGGCTTTTCGGTTTCACAATTCGTGGTCAACTTTAGAAGTTCAACTTACTCTTCATCTCTTCTCAATTCTTCGCAAATTGTGAAACTGGACCATATAAAGGGCGTTTTGAAAGGGGCCATTTTCAAAAGTAAAGAAAATCTTGCAAACCACATAATTTACATAAAATAGTCCATACAATATACATCATTATAGCAATATTGCGGCGATATTGCAACATTCCAGAAACATTGCAAATGTTGCAATATTGCGACAAGTTCCAGCTGTATGGGAAAAAATATATTTTATATTTTCAGCTGCGAAACGGCGGGTAACAAAAAATTCACAGGTGGGCCGTAGGTTGTGCATCACTGCGCTAGACTATAGAAAAGTGACTATATTATAATGATAAAAGAATCGTTATTTATTTAAACAATCGATACCAAGAGCCGGTTAGTCCACGTGTGAAATCTGCAGAAACTTGAATATTTCAAGAAGTCTGCGCTATTTGACGTGCATCGACATGCTTTCCTGTCGTTAAGGTGTTGCTAAGCCAAACTCGAGCCAGATGCATCAAACACCGAACTAACGGTCGTCAAATCGACTTGGGAGTCCCAAAAGACGCTGAAGTACAATGTCTTTCGTACCCCTTAAAGTATAATACGTATTGTCTGAAGTAGGGAGAGTAACCCTCATGGTTTTTGCTTTGTAAACGAAAATCGAGGCGAGCAAAAGAAAAAGTAATCGTAACATCCAGTCTTCTTCGCGTTGATTATAATATTTTAATTATTTATGAAATGTAGAATCGATTGAACGATCCCTCTGCTTTTGAAGCTTTGATATGTAAACCAAAGTAAAAGTTCTTAAAATAGTTTTTAATGAGATCTACGAGTGAACGAACTTTCCACGTATTGAACAGTCTTAAAAAAAAAAAATATATATATAT